AAGGTGAAGATGGCTCTATTCTCAGGGTCCACTCTACTAATCTCTCCTGCACCAATGGAAAAAATGCAGCACAGATTTCATTGCTAAAAGAAGCGCAGTAATAACATCAAAATGATATTCTATCCTCTACTGTTAGGTATTGGCATATTTCAGTTTATTCTCACATCCAAGTAGGTTGCAATTTTCAGGAACTGTTGCTAAAAAAACATTGAGGAATGTCATTGAATGGCCATAAGCCTAGCCGTACTGTAACAGATTGCTATTACAAAGACTGAGATTAGGCTACAGGAAAAGATATCATAGTTTTAATATATAATTGGGGGTTGACCTGCTGGAAGGCAGCTCTGCAAAGGACCTGGGAGTCCTGATGGGCAAGCTGACCATGAGCCAGCAATGTGCCCTTGCGGCCAAAGCGACCAATGGTATCCTAGGCTGCATTAGGAAGAGCCGAAGACGATTAGGGGACTGGAGCATCTCTCTCCTATGATGAAAGGCTGAGGGAGCTGGGCCTGTTCAGCCTGGAGAAGAGAAAGCTCAGAGGGGATCTTATCAACGCGTACAAATATCTAAAGGGAGGGTGACAAGAGCATGGGGCCAGACTATTTTCAGTGGTGCTCAGTGACAGGACAAGAGGCAATGGGCAGAAACTGAAACACAGGAAGTTCCATCTGAACACGAGGAAAAACTTCTTCACTGTGAGGGTGACTGAGCACTGGAACAGGTTGCCCAGAGAGGTTGCGGAGTCTCCTTCGCTAGAGATATTCAAAACCTGCCTGGACACGATCCTGTGCAATGTGCTCTAGGTGACCCTGCTTGAGCAGGGCGGGGTTGGACTAGATGATCTCCAGAGGTCCCTTCCAACCTCAACCGTTCTGTGATTCTGTGTAACGTTCTAAAGTTTGTAATACGGCCAGCCAAGAGTATACCAGGATAACGATGTCAGAATATTAGCACTTTTACTCTATGCTATTCCAGATATAATTTTAGTTTTCAGTCACCCCTTTTCATTATAAGAGCATTTAAATTTGTAGGGACTGCTACCGAACTCTCTCCTCAGCTTGCTCACGCCTCACGCTCTTTTCCCTACCAATGATAGGTTTACCACATGCCTTAAGCAGTCATACCAATAGGAACATTGAGTAGACTTTGGAGCAGACCAGAATTCCATTACCCAGAGTATATTCACTTATTAGGAGTCATTCATCCAATCACATTGGCAAATAGATTCTTGATCAGCTGTTTTAAGTCATGCTTACAATGACTTACAGTAACAATGGCTTTATACTAATGCTGATGGTCAAATCTTCAGATTCAGGTGCTTAAAATGTGAACCATGCAGCTAGGAACCTACCAGGTTTTTCAGAAATGAACAGAGACCAAATCCTCATAGGGATTTAGAAATCCAATCCCCATTCAGCTGAAAGACACAGGATGCTTATGTCTTGATGACTTAGTACTATTTAGAATTTGACCGAGTGTTCATTAGCCAGCTGCCTCCCTGGGAGAGAAAAAAGAGCCTGAAAGTGAAGTTGTACAGGCAACTGATGGTTGTTATCGACCCTTTGCACTCACCTACAACTGACTTCTTGTGCTGTTTGTGAAATTCATGGAGAGGAGCTGGTTTAGACACAACAGGAGATGACTGGAGGGTTATCTTTGCTGTTGGAGGGATAAGTCTTCGTTCAGTTAGACTCAGAATACCTACAAGAACGTGATGTTAGTTAACAATTTGTTTACGCTCTGGTTATGAACAAAAAAATTAGTCAGTTAGTAACGGTAAAGAAAAAATTAATGACAGACCCAAGTTCTTCCAGTTCCAATAAAAACTAAAAAAAGCAGTGGTTTTCCTTCAATGGGGAAATTCAAGGAAGGTAAACTTTGCCTATAAAAGTTGATACATACATAAAATATATTGTAATGGTGCTGGTTCTGAGGAGGAATAAGGGCTTGCAGAACGGCAAACTAATAAATAGAGTGTATGAGAGTTAAGTCTTATAAACCATGATATAGTAATGGCTATGGATCAAGTACAGGTCTAGTTAAGATTGAGTGAGTGATAGCTAGACATTAATTATGGCCATGTATTTTGACTATTTTATTTAGTCATGCAAGAATCCTCTCTCACACACAAGTCAACTGAACTCCACACAATACTAGATAACTGGCTCAAGGAGGAGGATGCTCAACAAACGATATGTTATGTCCTTAGGATCTCTACCACATGTGCGGTAGATCTCTATCCTTGGCAACCCTTGAGATCACAATTCTTATAAGTTCTGAGGTGCCAGAAAATCTGATTACCAGATACCTCCTTCAAACAGCAAACAATACTGCTTTGGTAGAATACATCTGGTGTCTGACAACAAACTCACCTTTCTGTATGTCCTCTTCTAACAGGGGTAAAGGAGAATCCATGTGGTGAGAGGCAGGCAAAACCCAAAGGTTGCTAACTGTACAACCCTTGGCTATCTTCTGATTACACATCTAGGAGGAGGCAGAATCTTCTTTTACCAAATAGAAAGTTTGGACTTGCAGAAGACAAACTTTTCTACTTATGTAATACTAAATAATAAATACAATTTCTTCTATGAATAGTCTCATTAAGATTTAATAATATAACAATATGAGCACTAATTCTGCTACTTATGAACATGTTGCAGTATTGTCTACTGTCATTAGTTTAGCAATTTAAAATAAAGTTAATTAAATCCAATCAATGTCTTGTGATTTCTGCTATGCAAAAATCAGTGCACTAGTTAATAAAAGGATCACAAGAAGTTTCCTCAATTTAATGAGAATGGCGTAAACGTAGTATTTCCTGACAGAGCAGCCTTTGAATATACGAAATGCGTGCACAAGCAAGGTACTAGAAAGGCAAGGAAGCACTTTCAAATACGGAAATAAATCTTCACTGGGAAAAATACTAATAGAATTAAAATATACACAACTGTTCACAATAACTGTCACAGACTTCTGAAGTTTCAGTGTTCTTTAACTACAGCAAAGAGTGACATAGCCAGTTAACGTGATGTGAAAACACATGCCACACTGGCTGTGCTAACGTGGGGATTAAGCTTCCTTACTTTCCCAATTAACCTGCATGTTTTAAGTGCCAGGAATTCAAGCAGTGACACACGTGACTTTGGGATAGTGTTACGTGTCTTATTATTATGATTATCATTCCATATATAGAGCATTTCGCCGAGAAAAGAACAGACTACAATCTCATACTTTAGCATTATAGGTACGAAACCTCTACGTTATTATCTAACATTTTGTTTCTCTCTTTTTCCAATATGCTAAACATCCTCGGTTTCTTTCTAACTATGAATACACATGCTTCTTCTATTTGGCATGTGGGATGGCACTAGGCTCTGAAAGAAACAGAGCGCCCATTTCCCAGGGGGTTTCAAGCATTGCAGCTCACATAACTTCAGGGCAATTAACATCAGCAAAGTCTCTGGCTTGAAGATAGCAAACCACCTCCACCAGCAGCAGGTGATTGTGTTTTCTTTTGCCTGCCTGATGCTAGAAACAGTAAGACAAAGAAAAACCTAGGAAGTCACAAAAGATCCAGCTTAAACAAACTGAAACGTCCGGATGAAGCAAAACGAAAATTTAACACTAGTTTAAACATTGCTCTATCAAAGGCTCTTTGGAAATCCAGATAAAGTTTTCTTAGCTTTAGCAGCTAAATTCCCCAAGGATTGAGTATACTCTAATGTACGCTGCTCAGAACATTCTCTGCAACTGCAGCTTTGCAGATTCTCAGATACCTGAAATGACAGTGGCAATCTGTCCTCCTCCTCCTCAGTAACTTTCTTGCTGGGCCCAGGCAACACAGGAAGGAATCTACTAAATTTGAAGCCATAGGGAACAACTGCCAGCACATTGGTGTGAATATATTATTAATCTCACGAAAAAGGAGGGTAGTAGGAGAGGCGAACTGGGTCTTTGAGCAAACAGTGAAGCTACTAGGCAGACTGGACAATGAAACAGAACACGGGATGGAGGGACTGGGAACGATCATGGGGACAGGCTATACAAAGAGCCTGGCAGATTGGTTGGGAGTACAGGGTTGGGATGGGGACAAAGAACCAGGCAGATATGACTAGGATATGTTGTGCAAGGAGGCTCAGAAGACAACCCAAAGGAGCAGAGAGACTGGGTAAGACAGATGGGAAAAGGAGAAACCAGAGCTGGTTGGGAAAAGGAAGCAGACAGGTTTATAGTCAGCAGGGCATTTCCCACACAATTTGGAATAGAACTCAAGATCCCACAGTCTTGTCTTCTCCAGTCAGCAAATACTTGTGAAACCCCATTAAAAAAAAAAAAGGGGCCATACTTTTGTAGGTGACTGTAGGCTACCAGTTACTTTAATAGCAGATATTTCTACGTTGGATAGAAAGGTTTGAGCATCACTGATGAGCTATATGAAAGATAACCTAATACTGTTTTTTTTTTTTTAAAGATATTTCATTATGAATGACAAACTACCTTAAAATAGTATTAAGTATCTAAAATCTGAAAGCTAGAGAATGTTTGCAAAAAGCAAATAATGCTTCCCTCCTTTATAAGGCACATTAGGACTTTCTGGTTTAAAACACTAAGTTTTAATGACTAATTATCATGTTTGTGTACAGCTTTTAGTACAATAGGATCCAGGCCATGATTTGGATATTTGAGCACTATTGTCTCATAATTAGTAAATAATATCGGCCATCAACTTCAAAAAAAGGAGTAGGCAATTCTAAAGAATTGTTTAGAATTCTAATAGGAAAATGAGATAGATCAAAATAAAGTATTATAATTCTTTTTCCTCCAAATTTGTGTAATAACACCATCCACAAAAGACATTAGGGAGATAGAAAATATGTAGGCTTCATCATAATAGACAGTCTTTCAGAGAAATCACAGACATTCATTTTAGTTATGGCTATTACGCAGCATTATGCTTTAAGGGATCTAGGTGCATGAATCTTCATGTCCTTGTGTTCCAAGAAAATGGCAATAAGCACATACAAAGATTAACTTTATATCATCCAGCAAAGAAGTGGCTTGATACTGAGAAAAGGGAATATAAACCACAGTTTTTTATTCGCTCTCAGTTCCAGCAGTTTGCTGAGGACACAAAAAATGTGTAAGAATGACAAAATTTAATTAAATAGCAACTCCATTTACAGGCTATTGCTATTGTATCAGTAAAGCACCACTGATTTCACTATTGGCCAGTTTTACCCTAATTTGAATCCCAGGAGTTTTGTTATTTTAAGCAGCTGTATGAAGCATTTATTTCACTTGTGTTCATACAAACACAATAAGCTACAAAGGAAAGTAATTCCGGTACGGGGTATGAGCTCATAAAGCTGCATTTTTTATTTTTTCAACTAGAGAAATACTTATTCTTCTTTGCTGTATCCTTCAATTTTTATAAACTACAGGTGTCAGCTTAAAAGAAAAAGGTCAGATGCAACTTTCTGAGGGAAGAGGGTTGTAATTTAAGCCTTTAACATCGCACAATGCCACTTTGATTAACTAAACTACATAATATAGGCAATATACTAGACTTGACCCCAAATTATTACCTATGAGAATTCCACCCAACCTGCACATCCCTTTTCCACGTTCTTTCAGCATGCTCTTTTACCACATTAATCACCCATTTGATGACTTGAAGGCTTCGTTAAGAAATGAAAGCAAAATGTGACAAAACGCTTTCACACTTTATTTTCACTAAATTGAAATAGACCCAATTAAAATAAAAATGGCTTAAAAATAATAAAAATATTAAGTACTACAAGGAAAATGTTTGCTTTTAGCATCATTATATGTTTTATTACTATTCAGTAGTTTAACAATTTCATCTTTCTAAAAGGTTCTCCATAGACTTCCATCCGGAGATCTCAGAGCAGTTTAAAACCTTTACTCACACCTGCAGCTTTTATGGCATAAACACAAAGGCCAGTGAACTTAACACTGCAGAACTACACTAACTAGTCCTAACTAGCACTTTGAAGTTTGCAGCATAGACAGACCTAAAACAGTATGGAAGAAATAAAATAAAAAACCCTCCACCCTCTATCTGTAGGTACCTTACCACCTTCCTCTCTGGTAAAACCTAAACTCAGAAGAGCTGCAATGCAGTCCTTACTGCTAACGAGGGATTGGAATGTCTGGCATTTTTTCCCCTAAGTGATGTTTTTTCAAGTCAAGTTTATGAATATTATGATTCAGTAAGTATATTTTTATTAAGTCAGCACACAGCATGCTTGATCATCATCGATACTTTTAAAGTATAGTTTTAAAAGGCTGGAAAGGAATGCTTAATCTGTAGTGCCGTCTAAGGCTTGCTCTGGGCAATATGCTTGGAGTGTGCTTGAAAAACTACTTTTTCATTTCAAACATTTCTGAGTGTAATTAACCTGAGACATGAGAAAAATAATTCTACTACCCTTTCTAACGTGTTCTTCTCCTGTGGATAAACCTCTCCCATTTGATTTTTTTCTTTTTATTTCACTTTAAATGGAGTACTTGTTGTAACACCAGAGGGATTTTTCCATTAGTTCTGGGTTTTTTTTTTTAAAACCTAGACAGGAATATTTAGGTAGAACAACTTTTTTTGTATTTATAAATATGCTCCTCCTCTAAATAAAAAATATAGATTAGTATTAGAATTGACAAGAGATAAGTACTTTCACAGATGATTTTATTACTGTTGATAAACTGCAGGAATATTAGCTAGACAAGGCATTTTGTAAGTAAATATCATAAAACCACAGAGCTTGATGGTTATATACCTTTTCCATCATTACTAAGTAATCTGCAATTTCATGTAATCTGCTCCTAATTGCCACCCACCTTCATAATCTCTATCAAAAAAAACCTATCAAAATTTCATGTACAGGGTTGATAAACCTTAGAAATGGAAGGAGAAAGCACACCCACATGGAAAGACAAGACCGTTTTTACAGATGCTTCCCAGGAAGCCTGTTAAGCATATGAGAGCTGGACAGGGCCTCTTAAAAAAAAAAATCCAGCAAGATGAAAATGGAGGTAGGTTAAGTACCATGGGCTGAATGGCAGCAAGTGAATTTCTGCTATTGAGTGAAAGGACAGACAGGAAGCACACAAGCTATAGGCTATTAAGTCAAATCAATTAAACTAAACAAATTAATGTATCAAAACAGATGAACTTCAGTGCTTACAAATCAACAGAACCTGATGTCCAAGCAGGAGGAGGAGGTATGTTAGCTGCAAGTGATGGCAGCAAATCAGTTCAGATTGTGAAAAGCTCTGTAGTGGAGTACAGACAGAGCTCTGAGTGACTTGAGAACAAATTGTTCAGCAAATTGTTTCAGATGACTGAAATATTTATTCTGCATGTATTTGGGAGAAAAGAAAAAAATAAAGAAAAAATAAGCTTTACTCCTTTAAGCTGCTATGGAAGTTAGACGAGATGGCCTACTGCTAGCTTTTCCAGGAATTTCACTCCATCAAAATTCTACCACAGCAGGTGCAAAAGAATAGATGCAGAACTTTGGTGAATACCACATCTGTTTTTTGAAAAAGAGAGCAGAAGCAGCACAGAAGGAAATAAGAAAGATAATCGCTGGCTTGAACTATAATACATTTTACTTGTGGGCAAAGGGCCAGCTTACACAAGGCAGAACATGCAGTCCCATCTTATTGGAATTCAGGGGTGGGCCTGCGTTCTTGTCCGGAGACAGCTGTAAACCAGCAGCCCATAGCATCACAATCAGGCACCATGTTTCATCAAGGAATGCTGATATGTACAGAAGCAGCCTCAGCTGCACCCCTACCTAGCAAAATGACAGTCAATCTCCAATTCCAGATGACAAGAACTGGATAAAAACTTAAAACAAAACGTGACCTTTTCAAAAGATTAATTTGTTTACCAACAAAGCGTTCTACGTTTGTCATTTGAGATGGGGGTGACCTTCACATTCCCATTTCTAGGTTGAAAGGATGCTGACGACAGTCATCTGTTAGGTTAACTCTATCTCACCAATTACTCTTTATTTTTAGTGACAATATTTTATTAATTCACTGTGCTGCATTTGTATTATGGTATGTAATGATAATAAGCAACAAGCTTATTTTGAATTACTGTAGTGTAGCATCAATTTAAGTCTTTGTCACCAATGCCAAATTGTGTTTTCAACTAATGCATATGGCCATAATTACAGGCAAAGCATAATCAGGTTTTTCAGAATCAAAAACCTGTTTTTCTTCTACAACTTCTAACCATCTGAAATGAAATTACCCTGCTTTGCCTTACTTTATAGTTTTGGAAACGAACAGGCTTTCAGTGATGAGCATTAGTGATTAGCATGATGCAAATACTGAGTAAAGAATGAATTACTGAGGATACGATTAGAATGGCTGCACGGGAATAAGTTAGTTTAAAAAACTAAAAACAAACCAGAAACAGAATCACTGCCATCATCACTACAGCCACACTATAAGATGCAGCTCAAAGGCTAGAAATCACCACTGCATTAAATCCTACCTCATGAATAAATGAAAAGGTTCCTAAGTTTACATTATAATATATTTTTATATGAAAACAGGGACCAAAAAGTGCCAGTATAATTCTGTAAAAGAACAGCAGTCCTAGGAAAACGAAAGGTATAGTTGCAAATCTTTTCTGCACCGCAGCAGTTAGTCAGCATTATTTCTGCTGCAATTCAGATTACTGTTTGTTTTGCTAGATACTCCATGAGAAGTGCACATATTTAATAGTTACCTACGTATTTGGCTTGTTATCCAGTCTACAAAAATCAAGCAATGCTCAATCTGCTCCTGTTGTTTCAGACAGAACTACATCCCTCACTTTAAGATAGCTACAGCACGTTATAAGAGGATGAAGTACTAGTGCTGACCAGAAAAACAAAGTTCAAAAGGGCAATAGTTACTGCATAATTAACTGTTTTCCATCTGCTAGGAAATCAGTATCAGCAACCTTCTAACACTGAAAGAAGAAAAAAAACAGCAGTCATTCATGAATAAATGAGGTCTTTATTAAGTTTGAAAGTGCTTTTTCAAACTATTCAAATGACAGGTCAGTAAAAATTATATCTAGATTTGTGCTGGACTCCAGTTACCTCAATTTGTTTTTAATCTTGTTACCTTTTACATACTCAGATTTTACATGTTCCTTGAGTGCTCAGCTGCTGATACTACTGGAAAATAAACTATTTGCTCTTAATCAAGTGCTTAGTTTGTCGTTTATTTCAAAGAGTCCTTCCGCCACTGATTTTTGGGGAAACATCTTTAGAATATGTTCATGTATGAAGGGTAGGCACATGATATCCATGTGTGCACACACATGTGCACACATACAAATATTGCCCTCTAATGGCTGATTAGAAAAACAGGGTAAGTAGTAACTAACTAACTGGTAGCTACTGTAATTGCTATTTTCTTCCAAACCTAAAGAGTATACACTTTTAGACCTGCAACCACACTGATTTCAGTTACTAATGGTAATCTATAACTCATTCCAGTGACTGCTTGTATAGGTCACCTTCACCAAAAATGCCTTCATTCACAGTCCCAGTAGTGGATTTTTACAAATCTACTTTCAAACTTTTAACCTCAGCGAAGCTATAACACTTCAAAACAGATTTTTCGAATCTCATGAAACACTTTAAAAAGCTTCTGCTTCAGTAAGGCTGCAGAAGAACAATAAATTAGTGACATAAAACACCGGCTTGGTTATTCAGCCTATCTCCCCATCACAAACAGTTTCTTAGCAAGTGTAAATATGTATCAGAGAGCTTGACTAATTTACACTAAGTGTTTGTGATTTAAGTCAACATTAAGAACTTTTCTCTGATCAGTATGTTTCAGTAAGACTGGTAAAACACATGGCTCTCTGCAGTGGTATAATATTCCTCTCTGTGAGCGTTTTAGAGTGGTTCTAAAAAGCTATTAGCCATGATGTTTTTTTCTAATTAACTCTATATCACAGGGTTAGACAAATCACCTCTTAGTCTGGGCAACAGCTTTCAAAAAAACCATTTTTTAAGAACTGGCAGCTCACAACTGTGCCGTTCACAGATTCCGTTTATGTTGTTTAAAACCAAACACTCTAGAATGTCTCTTATGGCACTGGGCTTGCTGCATAATGCTTCTACTACATAAATTAAATTGTAGAAGAGTGTCTTTGTGTGAGACCACTGGGCATATTCTTTCATGTGGACCACAGTGCTGCACTAAAATTGTGAGCATAATTGATCTTTGGAGGGATATCTGTGCCTATTAAGTTTTTGTTTAAAAAAGCACACTTTGTAGAAAATGTCATCTTCATGTTAATTTAGGAGGAAAAAGCAGTTGCACAACAGAAATTTGGGAGAATCGAAACTTAACCTTACACAGTTTGAGTACTCTCAGTACAGAGGAGAAGGGTGATTTGATGGCCACCGATCAGGGCAATCTTCACGAGTGCACTGACGGAAACGCTCAGTCTAGGCTTCAAGAGATAATTGCTTTGTACTAACGGAAACAGCTTGTCTAGAGATAAAAAGAGGCTGTGCTCCAGAATACCTTGTAGCTTGACAGTGAGGACACTTTGAGGATCCGCAAGACATGGAATTATCCCCACATACAAAGGAGGGTCTGAATCAGTCCCTCACACTCCAAAGCAAGTGCTGCAGTCATTGGGCTAGAAAGTAGAATGGGACAGTAACCATCCCCAAACCCTGTCAGAAAAATAAGTTGCAAATGTCACCTAAATTCACATAGTCACTCTAACATTCTGGTTCTCTTTCGGTGTTATCCCTACTTTTCTGATTCAGTGACACTGATTTCTGGTGCGATAGCCCCATGCTAGGATTGCTTTTTAAAGTGTCAATTAAAAACAGCACCAAAAGAAAGTACAAACATTTTTCACTCATCCATAACAATTCTATCAGCATTTGAAAATGGAACACATTCATTTCTTGTTAGGAAACAGCTATGTAATGAATGACCCAAAGCCTATCGTTGCCAGACCAAAGGGATCCAAAGCCCCTTTACTTCTTCCTCGATTTCTGGATTGCATCATAAATTCCACAAGCTCCAGTTTTGCTCATCTTCACTCATTGATTTTACTGAGATTACTCACTACATACACTCCCATTTATACTTCCACCTTTGCAGGACTGGCGTCTTGTTACTTAAAACCTGTTGTGCTACTGGTTTGTTTTCCCCAACACTGTCACTCAATTAAAGTGTGTTAATTGTTATACATCATGTCAAAAAATAGGAAATTATGAGGTACTTTCATTTAAAATAGGATTTTTATTTAGGTCAGATATGCATCAACTTTAACAGTAGACAGTTAATATAGATAAAAACAAGACGATATAAGCTACTTACTGGAGTAGATTTTTTCTTAGTTATAAGTGGCAGCCTGATCCCACAGTCCTGCTTGAAAACAGCTTTAGCATTGGTGTTCTCTGGGTCAAGCATAATTTTCACATTCATTTCCAGCTGCTGCTGAAATATATATTATACCTACTCTTAAAACAACTACACTAGAAGAGAAGTGTTTATAAACAAAAATTCACTAAAAACCATTGCTTGTGAATTTGAAAAAATCACAAAATCATGTTTATCCAGTTCTGTGTGGATGGTCAAATAACGAAAAAGCATCTTTTGATTAGATGGATGACTTAGCAAGGCATAAAACTATTATTCACATGTATGATTCTACCACAGTTTGTTCAATCAGCTGTGCTGAAGTTCTTCGAGTGTCAAATTTCCACATCTTTCTCAAGTTAAATTTTGGGTGGAAAAAAACAAACAGGTTTGACTTGCTGGATTAACATATGTCATTTGCCAATTCCATTTATCTGTGCTATAAAAGATGTTTTATGGTACTTACAAATAAGGAAACATGGACAAGCCCATAACATTTTTCAAAGAACCCCAAATCATTATGACTATTACCACCTGCCCAGTTGGAAAGAAAGAGTCAATACATTCACATTTTACAAATACAGCTGTTCAAGTAAAATATACTTTCTTTATGCTAGTATGGACATTTTTTCCTGAATGTCGTCTCAGGTAAATCTCAGATCGACTTTGCCAAATTTGTAATAGAATTTGCATCTGTGCCTTATAAAACTATTTTATGAACTAGTCAAGGATATGTAAAGTATGTAAGCGCCTAACCATAAGCACAGATACAGACATACGCAACACAAGAATCTGTACTAAGCTGAAAACGCATTGAGGTTAAATGATTAAATGAAGAGCAAGGAAACATAGAAGGATTAGATTAAGCCAATTGTGAGCTTCAGCCTGTAATCCTGTATAACTGCAGTCAATGGCAATCTTCCTATTAATATCAGTGGATGCCAAGACAACTACAACATACCCTGTAACGTTTATATATTCCATTCATAAGGCAGATCATGTGGCTTATCTGAAAGTAAAGTTCTATACCCAGAAAAACATTTTTTCTTCAAGTTTCATTTAAAATGTTTTGTTGAATGGGAGTCTATACAAATATTTGGCAAATACATACCCAAATCTTTGGGAGGGAGTTAAATATACATTCTTCCCACAATTGACAATAATAGTTCAATCTATCTCGGCTATGCTTATCAAAGACTAATTCAGGAATCATTGACCTGATGGACCAGATCACCTTCCTTGGATCAGTTATGGGTCGTAGACTCAATGCAGGCAGAGCACTTGCTTATAAGGAAGAAATAAATAATCCTTATAGTAATAAGAATTAAAAGCCAGTAGTTTCTTAATGTACTGTATTACTTCCAAGAAGGAATACAACTCAAAAAGTGATTGTGAATTAAATCCTGTTGGACAGAAAACAGACCACGTTACCTCCTGGTTAAAAAGTATCTAAAGCACATACTTTTTACTCAGAGTAAAAGTACACGGCACCACTTTTGCCTTTATAGAAAAGAGTATCTTAAGGTAAAAACATTTCAGTACATAATGCATACACTCTGGTTTACACTTGGATCTATATCAAGTGTAGTAATCTCTCTCATTACTTTCACTGCAACAACACTGCTAACTAGTCTGCATCCAACAGGGTTTATTTACCAACCAATGCAATGCTGAATAGGGAAGAATCCTCAGACAACAAGAGCTAATGCAGCTCTAATGAGGTCAACAGAGCTAAGTTAATTTAGAGGAGTGAGGACCTGGCACTGTATGTTCTTAATTCTCATCATATGAGCATAGGAATACAAGAAGTTCCCTTACTATGCAGGATCAAACTAAACATATTTATAGATGAGAAGCCGCTACTGATACTGCTATTATGTATATGAGTAGAATTTTTTCTGACAAACCAAATACGCCATATAAAATGCAAGAATCATTAGAGGTACCTTTGAACTATTAACTGTATTACTTTGTGAAAGAACGAAAAATGCCTGCATTTATCTGCACAATCTATTTTCTTCTTTTGACATAATTACAAGCAGATGCATCAATGAGACATTCATTTAGATTTGGGTTTGTAAGAACAAAAGTTATTATCCAAGCCAATTACTCTTTTGCCCACATGGCTGCACAGAGACAGAAAGTTCAATTTTCACCTCATCAGTGATTTTGTGGTATTTATTTTATTACTATAATACACCACTGTACAGAGAGGAAACTGCTTGTGCTATTAAACAAGAATTGGAGGGAAACTGAAGGCCTCCTCAATTAAAATAGATGATTCACAATGCAGACTCCCCAGTCTGACAGTGAAGCGATCAGCGTTGCAGTGGCAGACTCCACTCAGGATAACAAGAATTGAAATACTTAAAAGAAAAGCTGATAAAAGTTACTTTGTCAGCTTAGATGCATGGCAAGTGACAATTCCACATTTGCAGGAGTTGGTATCATGAGTCTCTTCCATCTGCTCTTTCTATATTATCCAAGGTATTACATTTAATCTAGCTTTAACTGTCTTGGTAGAGAACAAGAAAGAAAAAAGCAGGGCAAATAGCTTATTATTACTAACCTAAGGCCCTATGAAAAAGGGAATTAGCATGCTTCAATTACTAGCATAGAGTGTAATCCACAGAACAAGTTGATATGTTCATTATAGTTAAAAGTAGTTCAAATCCCATCCTAATTCAACACAAGTCAATTCAAGGTGGAGGGCATTTCACCAGGTAGAAAGCCAACAAGTCTTACTCACTATGTAATTCTGTTTTGCAGATGTCTGTAATGCATAGTTTTGGATACAGAGTCCAATTCCGTTAGGAATGGATGGTTCTAACTGAAGCAATCTATCTGTAACTAAACCACTTTTCACGTCTATTTATGGTATTCGCATATTCTAGAGCCCTCTAGAAGCATTTTCATTTACATCTTTTATTCTGTTCATGACAAGAGAATATTAGCTTCTGTTGTGTATTCAGAATGGCACAGAGCCTCAACTTTTAGAAAAACAAAATAAAGCTGCATAAGCATCAATTCAGGTGTTTTCAATTAATCATGCTTTTTAAACAAGTTTGAACTGACTCACCTACCAGTTATGGACAACAACATCTTTTCTGCCATTGCTATGCACAGGCTTTACAACTACAGCCAGCAGAAAATGCTTCTTTTACAGTTCTTAAGCTTTATCAGAAGAACAAACCCAACTGCAACACACACAAAGGGGACAATGCTTCACAATTCCCCTTATGAGCTAGATTCACGCAGTCCAACCCTGCTGTTGATATGATTCAGAAATACAGTATGTGTGTGTAAATAATTTCAAGTCAGCTCTGACATCTGTGGGCAAGCTATTTAGCATATGACAAGTATTCTAGCAATGTGTATGTGGAAATAGAATCCGCGTTCATTTGAATCCAACCTTGCTATAGGCTAACTACTACAAACAGAACTTATGCTCCATTTCTACTCACATGGCGTATTATAGACTGCAAATCACAGAAACATTGCCATATGAAATAATTATTTCTTTCAGAACTTACACAACTTCAGAAGTTGATTTCTTTAAACCTATGTACTTGGATAAACGCTCTTCAAATGGAAAGCTATTCAGTACAGACTCCTTTATAGTGGAAAGGAATTTAAAAAAGTATGCTTAAATAAAAAAAACTGTTTATAGTTGCAATTGAGGAAAAGATAGGAACTGAGGAATTGTAGGTGATAACTTCCCAGCTGGATTTCACAACTATTTAATAATAAAAGCTTTTTATGTTGGCATGCCAGGCATGTAGAACAGCTGGCAGAACAGCCCTGTTTGTCATTTTCTATATAATGGGAAATTAGGGCTAGCTTGTGTATCACTGGATATGCATTTCCAAGCAGATGCCATAGATACCAGACAAAAAAAAGAGGAAGTCATGGCAGGGCGTAGTATGCATCCCACTCTAAATTAAGCTCACTGATGCACATAGAGTTGAAAGACCATAAATAATAGAGACTAAGAGTAGCTGAACTCTGACCATTTCTTCAAAATACAAGGGTATACATACAGGATGGGATTGGAATACTCTGTGGAAAACTTGAACCTCTTGCTTTCAAAACACTAACAAGTATCATTCTTTTCTATTCAAAAACTTAAGGGTGCCATGGGTACTCCGTTCAACAAATTCCAAAGTTCTTATTCTTTGAAAATTATAAGTCATTTCCTAAACAATAAGCATTTTACACATTAAAAAGATGACTACTTTTTCAATACAATCCTACAGAATTTCATTCTCAGTTTTTTAAAAGATGAAATTTGTGCACGTTTAAAATCTGGGATTTTATTACACCTTACCCACCACCATTTCAAGGAAAAGAGATATTTTAATGCTATTTGATATTGAATTTTTTTTGTTTAAAAAAAAAAAAAGAGTCAGCAATGTAAATGCCAGGCTGTAACTCATTTTGGTTATACCATTTCAAGTAGCTTCAATCCATACCTAGTTATGGCACTGGCACAACAGAGAACCACCAAGATTCTCTCAAAGATCCCTTTAATTTAAACAATAACCCCAAATTGTGACAATGTGTATTTTTCAAATGAACTAATTACCTTATCTGTTTTTAAAAAAAAATTGATTAAAGCACCTTGAACTGACCAATCAAAATTCAGTTTAGAATAAAAAGCAAGAAATACTTCAAATCCAAACATTTTAAGGCGTAACGTAATTGTGTAAGGGTTTCAGTTATGAAAGACAGTGAAACAGATTGCAAGGAGGAAAGCTGTATTTATCATAGATGTGACCACCCCATACACAAAGGGAAGACTTTTCACCTAAAAGATATGGCAAGGTGTGGGAAAGAAAGAAAATTACTGTCAGTCTCAAATAATGCAAGTGTTTATATCTGTGCTCATGCTATTCCAGCATATTGTTCCATGTATTTCAAAGGGATCGCTTACAGAAGCGGTTAAGCATATAGTATTTGCAGGACTGGGATCCTTAACTTACTTGTGGAAGAAAAAAAGAACGGAAGGCTTCTTTCTGGGGGTGCCCATGATGGTACAGACTTCCTTCCTACCTTTGACTTTATGCTGACTGTGAGCCAGGGAGAAGGCTCCTGTCTCAGTTCTCATTCTACTGAGAACTTTCTAACACATTCACTCACCGGATGATATGAGCCAAAACTGAACCCCTGGAGAGTGAGAACATAACATCGCAGAATTAACTGATAACCTGCAAGACCCCGGTCTACACACTGAATATCGTTTATGCCAAAGTACTGTGTTACTTCAAACCTGTGAAGGTTGAGAAACACGTGGTGCTGATTTGCTGCATTCCTGGACAGTCAGGTGTTCCACAGGCACTCGTGGCAGAATAAGTCGTTTCTGAGGAGCACCAAAAGGAAGCTCCCTGATTTAGAAGAAACAAACAACAAGGTTTAAAAGTTACTTTGATTTTACCCATAAAACCCATACTGCTTCCATCTGGCTGAATTTAACAACTATATTTTCATTTAAATGCATGTGCAGCAAAAACCAGAGTTAACAGAAAAGTTGCTGTAGCTACTTGGGACTGCACTTCCTTTTGTATTGCTTTTTAACTTAAAATAAAACAAACTCAAAATAGCAAATGGCCAAAATAAGCTAATCTGGTCAGGTATTCCCATTCACTTCATAAGATTTTGATATCACAGTTGGTCTTGGCATTCATCCCTACAATAAAACAACTGTTTCACTTACCATTTAGAAAGCTGTTTTGAATGTTCTCCTTTATTATCAGTAGAAGAAATAGTTAACACTTGTCTGTTTATAGCATTTAAATAGTTTTCAGCATGTTTCTGTTAGAGAAAAAAGTTTAGACTATTAAAAAAGGTGTTAGGGACACTAAACCTAACTCAGTTAACTTAGCCATCTAGATCTTTCACTTGAGTGAAAAGTCAATAGGTCCTATGCCTCTATCAGACTAAAGCAAAACTTTGCTTATGATATGAGGCGCTAGATCAATTAATTCTGACCCCTCTCCCCCTCAAAAAAGGAAATCAGCACTCTAAACTATTATGTCTGATGAACCCCATCATTTGCTAGTTGGAAAGGGAACTTGCAGGATGGCAAACATAAGGCCCCGTGCACTCTCAGCGACCTACTGACAGGTCTCAGACTGAAGCATCTTCCTGATCCATTTCATTTTACTTACTCTCAGCCCAGATTCAGTTCTTTCAATTGCTGTTTCCAGGTTACCAATATCCACAGTTTCTAGTTTTCCTTTCAAGTTGATATTTTTCACTTTATCTTTAAGCTTGTGAAGGTCTTTTTGGACCTAAAAAGCAAGTTATTACAATAATCACACCTATAACCAAAAACCATAGGTTTATACAGCAGGGTTTAATTCAAATAAAATGCTTCCTAAATACAGGAAAGAAAAATTTCCTGTACTTCCGTACTCTTACAAATGAGAGCGAGAAGAACAGACAGCCAACGACTTTTAAAGCCAATGATTAGTAGAAAACCTGAACAAAGAAGTTCATTTTAAAATAAATCTTGTAAAGCAATGGCAGCAGACTTCAAGACTGGGGTCCTTTTGCAAGGAGTGTTCTTCCCTTACGTTTCAAATATCTTGGCATAGATGGCTTAACTATGCAGGAAGAACAGAAGCACTACCAAAGGCTTTTGAAAGGAACAAGTAGCTTGAGAGGAGATCATGTCTGTCCATGTCAAAAACATATATTTATACTGTGGCAACCAAACAAGTTCAAGGTCCCCTTAGGCTAAGAACTGTAAAATTTATAAAGTCCTGGTCATTATCCAAAATTCACAACGAGAACACACAAAACAAAATGAAATCTTAATGGCAGACAAAATTCTCCAAACCCCATTTTCTTGGGTTTTGTGTTGTCCCCAGAAGTTTCCAGGAACACTGTTGATATCAAGTGCTCTTTTTTGTTGTGCCACATAGAAAACAATTCTGCTAGATCCCTGAAAAAGATCAAATAAAAAAACCTTAAAGTCAGATCTTGGGTGCATTTTCTTCCTTTTAAGAAAAGTAGCAGCAGCCTAGAGACAATTGCCTTTCTTCATATGTCAAAGACACCTCTCAGTTTAACTCAGTAGTTACTACAGGCAGAATCTCTACTCTTTTTTGCAAGCTTGTTAAGAAGGAACTGAACTTCACAGATCAATTGAGCAGTAGAAAACCTCTAACATCACTTGCTTTATTAACTATTATAGCGTTATGCATTCTCGCAAGCACCTTAAAGAAAAGCATAGACACTCATGTTGCTTAGAAACAGAAAAGACAACCCAATTTAATTCCATTTGCATGGTATGGTGCTCCAAGAGCACAGGGTTTTTTGATTCTTAGTCAGTATCCGTTTCAACTAATACTGAAAACTGAAGCTACTGATACTCCAACCAACTACAGCTTGCAATATTAGTTTGATAGATTCTGCTCACGCTCACATCCCTCTAGTCTGCAGGGAAAATGACTTATTTCTTTGCAAGTTCTGCAAAGATAACTTCAGTCTCAGATGCATGAAGATGCCCTCTTGACAAGTACCTCCCAGAACTACAGAATGGTTTCTGCATACCACAAACTATCATCCAGTGTTTCAGTTCTGGACTTCACTGTTCCTTTCTATAAACAGCTAGCTTGTGAATACGTTCCTGGCCACTTTACCTTCTCACATCACCTGTCATTCTGCAGCAGCTCAAAAAAGTGTCAAGAATCAGTAAAATTGCCCTTTCGAGTGAAACATTCGGTTGAAATTTTGCAAAGGGAACGTACACTTCACTGACTTTGCTTTGCCAGTAATAATCCCAATGCTGCTATCAGTGCAAGGGCTTGTCTGGAGATTTAGGCTCTTGCACCATGGGCATGCTCCAGCTTCACTGCAACCAGTGAACATCTCCAAAGGACTTCCCTTTGAGCAGTCAGGTCCTCAACTTGACAAATTTGAAAACCACAGGGGAAACATTCTATGCAAAAAAGCAATACTAACTGCAACACAACTATTACCATTCAATTATTTTAGGCGTTTGCACAATTTTTTTGGTGGCAGTATTTGAGCATAGAATGAGGTCGACAATTTACAAAGTATTTGCTTACTGTGACAGATTACTTCCCTTTAGAAATAAGTTTGCTACTTCAGGAACACAAATGGGACATGAAAGAGCAAGATAAAGTATCTGTGGATGCTCTAAGACGACAACCCCACAGCTTAGCTATATTTAGGAACACAATACTGTCAGGGCAAGACCAGCAGTTAAAAGGCATTCCAATAAAGCTTTCAACCTGAAAAGCAACACCACTATTGGATTGCTCAGGTCTACGTTTTCAAAGCCCCATCCAGATCCAGCGACCGAGGAGGTCGCCAGAGCCAACGGGAGCTCCATCGGAGCCTTAGGCACCCGCGGGAGCCTAACCGCCCTTAGATCAACGGCTGAAGACCGCCACGGATGAAATCCAACTGCAAGGATCACAGAGAAACCAACGTGGAAAGGCAAAAAGCGTTTATTTCATACACGGAGCGACGTACAGAGCCACAGAAGGTCTTTGGGGGGCAACAGCTGGATCCGTTTATCCCGCAAAGGAGAGCGGCCGCCCGCCCCCCCCGCGGCGAGGCGGGAA